TTAATTTAGAATGTTTAAAGGGAAACAAGTTGTCTTGATAGTGGTGATATTGGTCGATCAAAACACCACCAAAATGATAACACCTTTAGTCTCAAATGACTGTTAAACTATTAGGAGAGTTGTGTGATAGAATCTTATGATGTCGACTTAGAAACAATTGATACTATAACTATTTATTTATTTATATCAAATGGCAGGCGTTTTGATAGTTATCATTAGCCCTTTAGTTGACTTCAGGCTTCACAGAGGGTAAAAAACATCAAAGTGAAAAAATTCTTGTAGGGGGAAGACAGAAGAGTGATTCAAAGATGTAAAAGAGACAGACACAAAGATAGAAAAAAGGTGAGGTGAGTACTGTGGAAGTAGTCGAATATGACATACAGTGGGGTGATGGTAGTTTGAAGTCAGAAGTCAACTGCCAGTTAATAGACTTTTTGCCGTATAAGTAATGTTGCCCAGGGTGCACCACGTGGAGGTAAGTCTATCACACACCCCATACGATAACAATGATACTCGTGATGTCGACTTCCTATCACAATTTATTTACACTCTCTTCAGGGTCAATGATCAATATACTACACATCAGATCCAATGATCAACAAAGGTTTCTGGGGCTCAAATTCTGATGTTTCAAACGCCAAAGAACTGATTCCCAACGTTAGCTTTGATGGTGAATTTAGGGCGTGTTTTAAGAATTGAATAAAAAAGAAGTTAGAACTATCTAAACCAAACCTCCCCATTCTTATCCCAAGTTATATTTGCTTGTTCAAATGGTGTAAAGCTTAATTTCCTCATCAATAAACGAGCACATTAATCACAAAGGTAAATATGAAAAACATTTCTGAAATACCTTTGCCCTTATAAGGAATGGAAATATTCTGAAAACGGTTTCAAATAACAGCCACTTCGGGCTTCATAAGACCTGACCTCATTTCTGTAAATGCTACAGACAAGGAAGGGAATTGGCAAAACCATCAGCGAATTTGACCTTATTTCCAAAATACATAGAAATAGCTCCTAAACTGCTAATAATTACTGGTAAATGGAAACATATAAAAGCTATCTCGAATAGCCTTTTTTCTGAAAGAATAAGGATCAAATTTTATTGATTCAAGTTTAGGAACTATAAGCATGCCTAGTTGATACCCCATTGGGGAGTAATTTTTGATTATCGACAATTTCATCAGGTCGTAGACTCTGCTTTCAGTAATTTAGAATTATATCAAGGTAAAAATTAACAAATAAACAACAGTTTTCATCTTCTATGTAATTAAGTTCTCGACTTTTAGCTAAAAGCGATTTGTTGGCGGCATAAAAATTTCGGCCTGCGTGTAAAGCTAAGAGTTTCCACGATATTAATCAAGTTCCAACACCCTTTTCGAATTTTTAAAGATCAAATATAGTAGGTCTTTTTTCAATACGTTCCAGGGTTGGAAAGATTGTGAATAAGAAGAACCAGAACATCATTATCAATAGAAGATCATAAGCAGCAGGTAAATTTGACTTCCTTACACCTTTATAGGAATAAATAAGACGAAAAGGTAAAATACGTGTCACTCTAAGTAATATTTTGGTGTTCCCTAGCCTATCGACTCCATATCGGGACTGTTATTGGATTGAAGTGAAAACAACAGTCAGGATGAAACTATAATCGACCTTCAACTGCAAGTTATGTGAGGAGACAGTTATTAAATGAAGCCAAAGGTGAACGTAACTCTAAAGGGGAGGCAGAATGGCAACACGCGATAATATTCCTCCTCCAACGTTCGAAAAAGAGCAGCAGTCGAATTATTTATTAGTGTCTAAGTGCCATTAAGTTGGGATAATCGAACCCACTCGATTTCCAGAAATTCATTTGGATCTGTATAATTCGCAATGACGATAGCTACCTTCCTAAATCTATTCTCAGTATTAACTCAGTATTATTCACAGCCGTTGAATATTCCCGGATCTACAAACAGATCCAAGCATTCGACTCAAGGTAGTCTCATAAGGAAATTAATATAAAGCAAGACTTATGGCTCTTCTGTTTAGTGCGAATAGCCAAATCATAGAATAACAATATGTGAAGGACCAAAAATCAACCATAAAGCAGTAATGAAGGTCTTAGTTCGTTTACGAGCGTTGCCTACGATAAAAAGTGCAAGATAAGTGACTGAAATATCTAATAATATGAGTTTCTTTTTCTAAAACTGAAATAGAATTCGAGTAAAGTTTGGTAAGCACAACAAAATACAAAATACTCCTTCTCAGTCGATGCTTACAAAAAGGAAAGTAGCACTTTTGCCTTACTGAATACACCGTCAGTCCCAACGTTAAAATGACTTTTATCGACATCAGATATTTCATTTCTAAATACTTTAAACTATACAAAAGGTAAGAAATAAGACTGAAGCGCATCAGGATTTCATCCTCTCTCGGCCTGTAAACCACCCAGTACGTTAAAAGTAGATTAACCCTCATTCGACCTGTAGATTAACCCTTTAGCGTCATTAGGATCATAGGGTATTCTTTCAAAATAAGACCCATTGGTACTAGACTCGTAACAGAAGGCGCTATTGCCGATTGAAACATAATCAATACGACCATAGCATTCGCCTTATACCTCAAAATCTCATCACGTCAGCGGCATCAGTCTGCTGTGAGACACGAGTGAGTGCGGCTGGGTGCATTTTTCAAAAAATAAATTTGAGGTTAAAGGGTTAGGGCATTGATCATACCAATTAGTGCGATACGGCGCCTGCACACAGAGCGCACCAATGGAAAAGCTAGTCTGAGGAGATAAATTCATCTTCAGGTTCTCTGCTAATTGCACTATCACCCATCCTGCTAAAAGTTTCCTCACTTAAAAGATGTCCCTTAATTAAGACTTCATTTAGAAAATAAACACTTCCGTCAAAGCCTTTAGCTGATCCCTATTCGCTTTAAATTTTGTAAATGTCAAATGCCATCATAATTTCTTCTACCAAAGGTTTTTACTGAACAGATTTCCAGAGGTCAAAATTCTCCCACAACCAACCCAAAACTAATTACATTAAGATCGCTTTTCTAACTATTATAGCGTTGAACAATTAAAAAAAATGGGCAATTATAATTACAGCGTATAATGAAAGTTTTGATGACTTATATTAATTTACCGCTTGTAAATAAATATTTTAGTGGTTTAAGGAGGATATTAAGAATTACAAAACTTATTATTCAATTTGCTATTGAAACGAAAGTTAACATTGTGAATTGTGAATATGAATATTATCCAATTAGAAGCGTAACATATGAAGGTGTTTCCTACATTTTACAGGTTCTATTTGGCTTTCTGGGATTTAGTAACTCTTTCATAAGTCAGTCAAAAGACGTCAAATCATCCTCACTCGACCTTTATTCGAAGTGAGATGAATGTGACCTTAAAATTCCAGACAAATACATAGTTAGACTGTGACAGCATCTTGATTAATGATAAATATTCCAAAATCGAGAATGAAGGATTTCGGTTCCGTTTTTAGACAACACTGATATATTTATAAATAAATTCTGTTGTTCGCCTTTAAAAAGTTGGCCATGCTGCACAATGCCAAAAGCTCATTGAATTTTACGTCATTAGGCAGTATCTACTAAGAGTTCTCTTAAAACATTTCGTGCTTTAAAAAACGGTTTCAATTTCCGAACCCACTGATCACGGCATTGATGCAAATGAGACCACCCCTCCATTGGCTAATCATGCAACGACTACAGCGCATATAACCTTGAATTCTAATTGGACAACTTAATTGAGATCCAATGAAGACGCGACCAGCTGCGTACGTTTGTGTGAGTGTGCGCGCAGGTTTAAGTCGTATCATTTAAAGGGGGAGTGAAGGAGGTATTTCCATTTACTCTCAGTATCAGTATGGAGTATGAGGCTGCGAATCCAATTCATCCAACATGCCCAGGCAATATGTCCACGACAGAGACAGCCGTCTACTTCTTCCGGGCTTATATTACTCCAACCATTCTTTTAATAGGAATTCCAGCTAATCTCTTTGTCTTTGTGGTATTTATTCGACTTCAGAAACGCCAGCCATGCAGATTTAATATCTACGTCATGTATCTAGCCATCGCTCACATATTCCAGTGCATTGGTGAATCGCTGTTAGATCATTTCATAGGTCGTGGGCTATGGTTCGCTTCAGGATGTAAAATCAGTTTTAAACTCGACATTCAATCATTGTTCGCCTGCAAATTTGTTTCTTATCTACCCACAGCAACAGAATTACTGGCTGCGGTTACACTGGTTTCTTTCACAATTGACAGGACGGTTACAATCTATCGACCAATACACGCGAGGGGTGATATACATCTGAAATATGCTCGATTAGGATTGCTTATGTGTTTCGTCTTTGCTTTCGTGGCGTTCATTCCAGCGGCCGTTTTTTACACTCTTGAAACGAGTCCAAATGGTAAAGTTAGATGCTCTTTAGCCGACCCGACTAGCTCTGGTCCGCGTTATGTCATTCTTATGAGTGTTATCTGTTCATATACGGCTCCTACCATCACTATTCTACTGCTGAATATCTTGATTTGCTACAAACTCAAAAGCTTGATATTCAATGCAGGAACGAAATCTACCACGTCATATAAGCAAAAGTTAGAAAGGCGAAGAATTCTTGGCCATTTAGGAGTCTGTTCCTTTTTCCTTTGTCTATCAATTCCTTTGGTCATCTGTATGGCTTTGCGACAATACTCGGATGCCCAGAATTACGATGTTACCAATAAGGAATTCCATAAGGAGATTGTTCAACTGACCAAGTTCTTCAGTTCATTTACAGCCATTCAGTATTCAACAGACATTATTATTTACTTTGTATTTCTTCCAAACGCGAGGTCGGAAGCTGTTCGAATTCTCTGTGGTTGCAAATGCCTTCAAAAGCTCGACTGTGTGAAGAAAATCTACTCAAAACACGTGAAAGACAATGCCAAGCAAAAACGAAAGAAGGTTTCTCTAGGGTTGAATCATACGCACATAAATCGGAGTACAATGAAGACTGGTGTGGCGTCGAAAGTGTCAACATCAAGTTTATCGGAAGTTGTCAAGTAGGGCTGAACCAATTCCAACTATCTGTGTTTTTTCTAAACAGGACATTCCATTTAAACAATCAGGCCCGAACCCCAACTAGTTAAGGTAAAACTGCATTTGATGTTTTTTCCTCCCATCACCAAGTTAAAAAAACGACAACTTTGTGTGCGAAAAACAATATTACTTGCATGTTTGACTATGTAAATACTATCTTTTTCTCTTTACGCGCAAATATTTCCAAGTATTATTTTATTTTTATATAAAAAATCTAAAGTCCATCATGTCAGGCCCTATCTACTGACTTATGGGTGGTGGCTTTCGAGCTCTTTGACTGCGTTACCTCATTTTTTGTTAACTTGATCCAGTCAAACTATTTCCGGTCCAAATCACGTCAGTGTGGATTGCAATAAATGCCTTTTTGTCATAAAATTATACGATGGTCCTTGCATGTGCTAGATAAATAGGGACATCGTTGTGGGGAAGGTGACTTGCTCTCCTTTTGTGGAGCGTTGCTAGACCTGTTGCTAAAAGAACCATAGGTGTGGCCGTGGACCAACTTGAATCGCGATCATTTTCTTCCATTTTTTCCCGATCCCTATTCATAATTAACAATTGCTAATTGTCATACACAATTTTCAAATATAAATTGTTTATAATATTTTACTTAAAATTAACCATCAGATGGCAAAGATTTAGTCGGAAGAGATATCACCGATATCTAGTAGTGAAATGACTAGTGAAGAATGGATTTATAGGCAACAATTTATAAAAAATAATTTGCTCAATAAATAAATTTTTTACTAAATGAACGACGCGGAATGCATGCACAACACACAATTCCACTTCATCTTCCATTAGGAGTACTTTCCAAACTTCTCAAACAGCTGGAATTCCTTATGAAGTTCATAGCCTTGAGATTTGCAGGTTCTACTATTTTTACTTGCTGTTATTGTTTAGGGTCTTTGCACTCCAGATTGTACTAATAACTTGACATATTCTTGAACGCTTTAAAGTAGAAATATATGGAGGGAATTTTTTAAATCTCACATTGACTAGCTTGAGGTATAAATCAATTTAGAGATAAATGATTGAATAAAAGCACTAATATTAGATTGTTATTAAGAAATTTAAATCCGAAAGGAATTTGGTTAAGTCTTAAACTATAAAATTAAGATGAACCAAGTAATTGGGAATACTTCAGAGTTAACCGATCGTGTGAAACGAAAATTTAAGATGGCCCTTAATTGGTAGTTAAATATCTAGATTTAATTCAATTTTGGAGTTCACCTTATAAGCGCAAAGTCATCAACACTGGAATTATATTGATGATTAACTACCAAATAAATTGTGTGTTTTGATAATTTTTACAATAAATAACTCTTATTCGAAAAAAATGACATTATTCGGTGTTCGATCATTTAAACTCGGTGAAAGGGAATGAGCTATGTATTCCTTATTAAGGGATCCGACTAAATTCGATTAGTGGGTATGTGTTATTGCCAATATTATTATTTAAAATGGCAGGCGTTTTGAATAGTTATCATCAACCATTTAGCTGATTTCGGGCTTCACAGAGGGAGGAACATCAAAGTGAGAAAAATTCGAGAGGGGGAATAAAAGAGTGATTCACAGATGTAGTAGAGACAGACGCACAAAGGTAGAGAAAAGGTGAGATGAGTACTGTAAAAGTTTTGGGATATGACATACAGTGGGGTCATGGTAGTTTGAAGTGAGAAGTCAATTGCCGGTTAATAGACATTTTTGTCGTATGAGTATACACAATGACATACAGTGGGGTGATGGTAGTTTGAAGTGAGAAGTTGTGACATATAGTGGGGTGAGGGTAGTTTGAAGTCAGAAGTCCACTGCCGGTTTATAGACTTTTTGCCGTATGAGTATACTTTGTAACATACAGTGGGGTCATGGTAGTTTGAAGTGAGAAGTCAATTGCCGGTTAATAGACATTTTTGTCGTATGAGTATACTTTGCCCAGGGTGTACCACGTGGAGGTAGGTCTATCGCACACCCTTTATTGCCAATATTGCTCTACTTGCGACATTCTTTTCATTGTTACGCATAACAAAAGAAAAATATGTTACTTTTAGTTGTGGAAAGCAGGTGACATCGGTGTGAGCAGAGAGAGATGGAGGGAGGGGGGGGGGGGTTCGGGTACCAAAATGCTCCGCTTGCCTACTAAGTGGGCAGTCAACTTCGCAAAACTCAATTGTCATGGTTCATCTCCAATATTGCAGCAAATGATTGTCTATCACGCTCAGGTCTTATCAATCGGTTAGTTAATCACATGATTGACGGTCTAGCAACTGTTTATCCGCAATTAAATTGTTCGCTCGCAGTTTAGAAGTGGCAGAGATGGGACTGATAAAAAATTTTTAGTTGGCAGATTTTCAAAAGAAAATAAAATATTTTAATCACCTCAGATCAAGTTATTTCACATTTGTTTATAATATTTTTATTACTAGGAGCTTAAACGGGTAGTAAGAGAGAAGGCAATGTTGCGAGCCAGAATGGTATAACGTTTTAGAGACTTGTATAACTTAATACATATTTAAAACATAAATATGCATATTGAGTGGAAAGTTCTATCATTACTATGAATAGTTAAGGTGCTAAAATCCCTAACTTACTTCAGTAAATTTGATTTTATGAGGGAGGAATAAGTAATTAAAATTTAATGAAATACTGCAGACCTTTGATGACCTGATTCAGTTCTTTATTTAGTGGAAGAAAATCAAGTAAATCTCTACATACATGCATACATGCAGACATTGTACTTTGAATTTGCATATTGGTTGAATAATGGAACTAATGAAAAACAATAAAAAGGTTGGGAGGGGGGGTGATTGAAATTGCTAAAGAAAGGGGAAATTACAAGAATAACCAGGTAAAAACGCAGTGATTGGGAAAAGACAACGATAATTGAAAAGGTTAATAAAATGAATTTTTACATAATGTGTAAGATTTTAAAAACTCGAAAATGGAAATTGTTAATGAACATGCAACTTTCAATTATGGAACACTCAAAAGAGTTTCAATGAACACCTGTGTATATGGTAGAGGTGGATGAAAGATGGATAAGGCGAGACCATTGCCAAGCCATTCACTCTTTTTTAAATCCACGTCTTCAAAAAATGAGCAAAAGGACTTCTAAAAGAAAGATGTAATCTGCCACTTTTTTCAACTGGCTTCAATTCAACGCCATTTTTGTCAAACTTACTTCTAGAATTAATCGTTTTTTGATCCAGAGGCCCTCCCCTCCCCCCAATTTGGAACACACGGAACTTGAATTTTAGTAGATGAACTGATCTTTGAACTTTTAAGAGTTTGCAGTACGAATAGTTACAGAAGATTGGAGAAATAATATTTCACTAGTGCAAGTGTGTAAACATTGGTTAATGTAATTGAAAAAATTTATTTATTTCAAATGGCAGGCATTTTGATAGTTATCATTAGCCATTTAGCTGACTTCAGGCTTCACAGAGAGGAGGAGGAACATCAAAGTGACAAAAAGTCGAGGGGGGACAGAATAATGATTCACAGATGTGACAGAGACAGACAAAAGAGCAGAGAAAAGGTAAGATGAGTACTCCGAAATGGGTTGAATATAGCATACAGTGGGGGTAGTTTGAAGTCAGAAGTCAAAAGTCAACTGCCGGTTAATAGACTTTTTTGCCGTATGACTATACGCTGCCCAGGGTGCACCACGTGGAGGTAAGTCTATCGCACACCCCTGTAATTGTAATTGAAAAAATTA